GAAGAAAAAAAAAATCAAATTAGGACAATGACTCATTAATCTATTAATAAACACATAATTATTCATTTAAAATATTGAGATCTACTCGTACTTGTCAAATTTATAATTTATTGATACATATTGGTTGTTATTGTTTTTATTTTAATTTTTTTAAAAATTAGGTACTAATAAGTTAAAAAAAAATCTAATAACATATGTTCAAAGTTTAGTGTGTACTTAAATAAAAACATTCAACATAAATAATGATAAATATTTTCGGTAGCGTCTATATAATTCATTTTTATTATGTTTAATATGTTAAATAATGCATTTTTGGGATATAATGCATGAATGATGATATTTACATATTTTTTAAAAAAATTATGATTTTTAAAAAAAATTTGGGTCCTCTATCTAGTGTTTTAAGCATATCGGCCGATACAACGCCTCGACCGATGTGTCTCAGTGCCCTCCTAGTCGATGACCGATACCGCGACTTTGAACCATGCCATCATTTGCACAGAATGTGATAAAGCTCTACCACTGTTGATCGAGCATCGCTTAGATTTCTCATATATTATATTTGTGCATCATCACCATGGAGAAGAGACGAAACTTGGAACAGCACATCTTAACTGACTCAAACTATAGTTCGTAGCCTAGTAACAAGAACAAAAGAGAAATGAAGTACGTAGTTGTCAAACTCAAGCAAGTATTAACTAGCCTTGTAAATTGTCACAACATCCTCTATTGAGCTTTAACATTTCAATGAGTATAAATCAATCACATATTAAATCAAATCATAGCTAAGCATTTGGCATCACATTATCAACGAACTTGAAGCTAAGCAGTGCATAAGCAGTAAACCAGACTCTATCGAGTATCAACAGACTAGAATTTGCAATCCATAAAAGAAAATGCTGCATGGCATTGCTAGCATCTGAAGGCATTAAAATGATATGATTTATAGAGAGAGAGAGAGATAATAGAAACCTCAAATTCAGCTGGTTTTGAGAAGTTATTGCTATCAGTGTTGAGCCCATGCAATAGAAACAAAAAGGGTTCTCCAGATCCCTGGTACTGGTTATGCAAAACTTTTAAAATCTCATCAGTATAGAATACCATGCTAACCAGGTATCTTTCCTGCAAAAAAATAAATAAATAAAAGATTAAATAATCACCTTAATTAATATGCATTGGATGTTGAAAAACAAGAAGCACAAACTTTCATGGTGCAATTACCTTAAAGTAGGATAATGGCTTTATTTCACCCAACCAAATAGCATAATCAGCAGATAATCTGGGAGCAAATAGCATAGATTTCCCGGTTGCTAAATCCTTCAACCAAGAAAATGAAAATTTTCGAATTTCCAATATTCCAAGAAGTGCTCAATCTAATTAATAAGCTGATCTATTATAAATTTATTTTAAAGGGTAAGCAAAGCATCATCGAATTTACAAAGAGACATTAAAATAACTGACATATGGCCTGTCAGTTTAAAAACAAATAAAGAGCTTCTATCAAGAGGGAAAATTCTACCAAAGACCCCACAAATTGCCTAGAGAGCATAATATGCTTCAATTCAACCTTTTCTTCAGTTTAGTGGCTAAGAGGCAACGAAACATAGATACTTCATTAAAGTCCATGTATCCATAACGGATACCGTATCGAATAAGATACTTGTCAGATGTTTTAGGATATATATCGGATGCACACCATATGTATTTGATAATTATAAAATATTTGGGTACTCCGCCAATACACATCCACAATTTATATGCTACGAATATTAAAAGTGTGTGTGCTGAGCAATATGTACGATTTTTATTTTTAAACTTCGTGTGTTGCTCTCAACTTTAAATATAATGAAACACAAAGAAAAAACCACAAAATTTTGAAGACACGTGGTTATTTTTTAAGTATTATCTACTATCACATGTCAGCAGAACATAAAATGTGTTAGTTACATCATACCTTTTAATTTGTTTAATTAGTTATGTTCACTTTATCAATATACCATAATGAGACGATTAATATTTTTTTGAAAATAAAAACTGCATTTCTTTTTTTGCATTATGGTTTAGTGAAAAACGTAAAATGCATTTTATATAAACGTATCCAAGGCGTATCCATATACTAGCTTTTTAAATATTGCCGTATGGCTATATCCATATCATATTGTATCTGTATCTCGTATCTATATTCAATGTTTCCCAGCTAAGAGGCACAAGAACCGAACCTTTGCAACAAATTTTGAAAAATTACATAATTGATGTTTTTCAGGTGAACAAGATACTTTATCTTAGTGTAAAACATAAATACCACTCAATGTCAAAGTCAACATCAACGAGCTAGAAATAATATATTATTTTTCCAGTACAACATCACACTGTTTTTCAAAACACAAAAGAATCGTCAGTGTTTCCATATTTACTAATAAGTTGCCTCTTTGTCACAGAACATTCAGTGCTTAATATGGTCAGGTGTAAGCAAAAATTACTTTAAGGATATAATGTAATATTTAATGGACAGAAACTTACAATAGCTCCATAGAACCCAGGCTCTTTCACTCCAAACAAGTAAGCAAAGTAGCTTTCCTGCCTGTAAATCATGTTAGCCACCAATTTGTAAGCCACTCAATCATCCTGTCATGCATATCAATGCTATCCAAAAACAGTTTGAAGTAGGACACACTACTACTAATACTATTATTATGATTATTATTAATTTGTACTGGCATTACTCTTATTATAAATACCACTATAACTTAGAAATACAGCTATCATCTATGAAAAGAAGAACCATGCAACATAAGCCACTTATGGCAATGAAGGAATGGTTTTCATCATTAGTATCCAATTAAATGTAGGGCTCCAAATATGATTGAGTTTCCAGGTCGTAACTAATTTCCAAATCCTTTTTTGAGCTTGCTTATATATTCCCATTTCCAACTGAAACTATACAACATAATCTAAATTCTAAACCAAAGAATGAGATTACTGCAGCAGTTGCTTTGCAATACTACGGATTGGTGATTGTGCAATTCATTGCGACCCAAAAAAATCAGCCAAACAAGAAGCAAATGTACAAAGCCACATTAGAGAATATTCAAGAAAGTGCATAGCTACAGAAAGAAGAGTGATCAAGTACCTAAAGAGCTCGATGTGATCCGTGCAATACCGAGTTTGCTCATCGCCACCCTAACAAAAATTAAATTTCAATCAATTCAATCAGAGTTTGGATTGAAGCAGCAATGGATAAAAAAGTGAACAGAGAGAGATTTACCTGAAGAAAGACGAAGCCCTGGAGAGGCAGAGAGGATAGAGAGAGGTGTTGACGTAGAGATTTGATGAGTTTCTCTCGATTGAGTACGTGAAGCTCCGTCGGCACCTCCGGAGGAGAGAGAGAAGATGGAGAATTAGATGCCATTGAAATGGGTTTGCTTCAATACGCAACTCTGAACACTGATACTAATAATAACTGAACCGAGATTCTATCTCAAAACGTCGTCGTGTGATAAAAGCGATACGCTCTTAATTTCTGATTTATGCTTCGCGAACGGTTGGAGATTAACATAACCCCCTCAGATTTTTAAATACTAACAATAATCTCGTGCTTAATTGGACGTGTTATATTTATATTTTAAATAATAATTTATTTATTTCATTTACATATTTTAAATTTAAAGTTAATTGAGATAAAAAAAAAAAAAAAAAAGATAAAGGTAGGTGTGGAATGATCTGAGCTTTTGGACCAACTTATGCAATAATTTTTTGAATTCAAAAAATATTATTTAGGCTGATTCAAGAAGTTAATTTTATTGGGAAGGTTTCGACCTTTTAGAGTTTTGTCGAGGATTCTACGTAACTTTTTACTTTATTATAATCATAAAATATTATTAATCACATAAAAAAATTGAAATGCATATTTTTAGAACTATTATGCATAATTTATACATACATGTAATTATTTTTTTATTTTGACACAAAAAAGACAAAAAGAGTTAGAAAGTCAACCCAAATAAAAATTTCCAACTTTTTAAAGAACACTTCAAACAATTATAGAAAACTTTTTTAACTCTAATTTTTTTATAAAATTTTTCAAACTATAAATTTTCACCTAAAAAATCTAGGAGAATTTGAAAATCGATACAAAAATTTAGACTTAATTGAGTTAGACTACATTAAAGAAACTTATTTGACCCTAAGTACATTTTCTTTGAAAAAATACTAAAGGATCATTTATTACGCTATTACCCCTCTCTCCATTACTTTCTCACTCTTTCTTGCTTGTGTTTCTTTCTATCTATATTTATATCTTACATTGATAATTTTTTTTTTTAAATATGTAAATATTTGATTTAATTTTTTCATCTATCTCTCATTTTTTCTCTCTCTCCTTATTTTTTCCTCTTTATATCCTTATATCGAAGTTACAACAACACAATTATATCAATCAGTTATACTAATTAGTTATAATTACCCTACAATACACTAAACAATTACTCATGTATTATAATAAACTAAACTGTTATACTAAATAATTACACAAAATTACAACACTAACTTAATTTGTCATTTAGTATCACGATATAGTTACACTAATTATATACACACAATTAAATTTATCATTACATAAAAAACTTTATCATTATACCAAAATTAGTGTATATAATTGGTGTAATTATGTCGTGATACTAAATGGTGCAATTCTTTAGTTTATGTAAATAACTAAATGACAAATTTGGTTAACGTCATAATTTTGTGAAATTGTTTGGTATAACTGTTTGGTTTATTATAATACATAAATAAATATTTGACATATTATAGGACAATTGTAAGTAATTGATGTCGTTGATTAGTGTAATTGTGTGTATTGTAACGTTGATATAAAAAGAGACAAAGATATAAAATAAGGAGAAAGAGTAATGATGAGAGAAAATAAGAGGAGAAAGTGAGAGAGATAGAGAAATAGGGGAGAGAGATGAAAAAATTAAATCAAATCTTTACATATTTGAAAAATAAAATAAATTATCAATGGGAGATAAAGAGAGAAAATAGAGGAGAGATAACGAGAATAAGAGAGAGAAAGAGAGAGAGAGATGAAGATAAAATAGGGAGAGATAGTGAGAGAGTAATGGTTAGAGAGGGAGAGAGAGATGGAGAGAAAATAAGAGAGAGATAGAGAGAATAAAAATTATGCATAATTTAAAGAATGGTAAGTAAGTTTAAAAAAATTTATCCATATACTTCCTTTCATTCAAAAAACTCAAAAATCTACCCAAACGGCCCCTTGTTGGTTATGTTTTATAGATATTTATGTATCATAGTTGAGTTTGAGTATTCGCACAAGAGTAAAATTGTCCCATTAAAACATGAGTATCATAAGTTCAAATTATGAAAATTGTCGCTTTACTATAAGTTAAAACCGTGTATATCTTATATTTTTGCAAACTAGGTCGTCGCAAAAGGCTTGTGCAGTGGATTTTTTTTTTACGTATGATATATTGATATTATCTATGACACTTGGTCAACACTCCACGGGTGGGGTTGGGGCAGCCCAAAATAGGTTTTTCAGGCTCAAGCCTGTTGTGGGCTAGGTTTTTTGGGCCAGTCCTATGGCCCCTTAACAAGCCAATTAGTGGATTAGAGGGTTGAAACGATTTGGGGGTGGGGCAGCCCAAAATAGGTTTTCAGGCTCAAGCCTGTCATGGGCTAGATTATTTGGGCCAGTTCTATGGCCCCTTAACAAGCCAATTAGTGGATTGACACTATAGGCCCTAAACGAGTTTTTATTCTTCAAAATTTATATTTGTACATAATTTTAGAAAAAATAATTAAATTTAGGGAATTTTGTGGGTGGGTACATATTTATGAAAATATTCCTCTAAAAGTCCATCGTCCAAACTTTTAAGTTATGAAGTACCGTCTACAAAGCATTTTGTTACCAAGTACATTTTTTCAAATTTGAATATTTTTGTAGTACCTAAATGTCATTTACTTGTTTTATGCAATATTTAGTAGTTTCCTTTTTTTTTTTTTTAAAGATTCTGTTTATATTGATTGATCAAGTTTCCTATTTTAATGGGCAAGTTAGAGTTTGAATTTTAAAAAGATTTCATAAATATATTTTGCCAGTTATTATTTTTAATATATATTAATTCAAGCTGTAATATTACTTTTACATGTCTTGTAAATTTCAAATCCCGTTTTGTTAAACAGCCACCGATACCTCCATTTTTTTGTTCTTCAAAAAGAGGTTTCATCAATTGTACAATACCTGAATTTTTTTTTTCTATTTTTAATTACACAATGAATTCATGTAAAATATGTTTATATAATTATTTCAAGGACCATTTCTTAAACTTCTTCAATTTATAAGACTAAAGATTACCCAAAAAAAACGTATATTGAGTTTTTTGTTTTTTATTCTTCAATTAATTATGTATTCAACTCTATGAATGTTGTTCCGAAACTTTTCACTTATAATTTATGGTTATATAAATTGCATATGCTTTTCATCTGTCATATTTTTGTCAATGGTGTTGTATGTAATGATTTTTTTTTTCTAACTATGAAAACAATGACAGGAAGAACAATGGATGATACCATGATGATGGTATGCAGGTATGGTCAGGGCCGGCCCTAGGCCTAGGCCACTTAGTTGGCCGCCTAGGACCCCCAATTTTTGCAAAATTTTGGGGCCTTTATTAAGAATTTTAGATATGGGCATATATATATTTTGGATAGGCTGGTTTGAGACTTGAGAGGGCCCAAATTTATTGATAAGCCCATTAACTCTTCAATAACTTACCTAGAAAATTGCTCCCGGCTGTAAACTGTTAGACTTCTACAAAAAAAAAGAAGATAATATCTCACTCTCTCTCTCCTGTTAAACTGTTAAACTGTTAAACTTCTACATTAACGACAATTTTTTTTTTTGTTCAGGATTTAACGCCACTCCCTCTCTCTGTGCATGAAAAGTTTGAATCTGAAGTTCTGAACAAAGAACACCAAATTCAATTCGCTCATGTGCATTTTACTATATTATATTTATCTAAAAGATAGCTGGAAGTGGAAGGCTGGGCTGCCTTTTGCTGCTACAACAAAAGTTCTGCTTTTTCCTTTGCCTCGAATGTTGTTGCCAATTGCTACAAAAGGAAAGGATCATCAATCCTTGTTGCCAACAGGTTGTGTTGTTCTTGAACTTTTATTTTAGTTTAATTTAATTTTTATAAATTTTGTGCTATAATTTTTCATTGTAGTAACAACAAGTTATATAATTAGTATGTCTACTCGAAAATATGATTCTGGATGTGAAAAACGTAAAAAGAAAAGAAAACAAGATGAAATTATTGAATCTCAAAAAGGAGCACTCGATAAATTTGTTATTAGTGATGAACCAACAACAACAAAAAATTCAAATGATGATTCAACGATTGAACTATTAGATAATATAGCAAAATCAAATGAATGACAAAAAGATTTAAAAGAAAATGAAATTGGTAAAGAATGTGAACTTGTTAGTAAAGTAGGAAATGATAAAAAATGTGAATATGTTAGTGAATTATTAGATTATGTTCCAATAAATATCTATGATCCAGGACAATGGAAAAATATTGATACAAAATTAAGAGACTTATTAGTTGAAAGAGGTCCTATTAGGGAAAATGATGTAGACTTTCTTAATGATGAAAATAATAGACATTTTTCTATTACATATTACACTTGAAAATTGTCAAATGGAGAAAAGCATGATAGAAATGGTTAATATATTCAAAAGATTTAGATAAAGTATATTGCTTTTGTTGTAAGTTATTCAATTCAAAACCTAGTACAAGTCAATTAGTTAATGAAGGAACTAAAGATTAGAAAAATCTTAGTTATAAGCTCAAAACTCATGAAACAACTAATGAGCATATCACTAACATGAATTCATGGGTTGATTTAGAAATAAGATTGTCAAAAAATAAAACTATTGATGAAAATATTCAAGAACAAATTAACAAAGAAAAAGATTATTGGAAAAAAGTACTTGTAAGAATTTTAGCTGTAGTAAAAACTCTTGCTAAAAATAATTTGGCATTTCGTGGGAAGAATGAGAAAATATATCAAGACAACAATGAAAACTTTTTAAGTTTAATTGAAATGATTGCAGAATTTGATCAAATAATGCAAGAACATGTTCGACGAATTAAAGATGGTGAAATTCATAATCATTATCTCGGACATAAGATACAAAATGAATTAATACAAATGTTAGCCTCTGAAATTAAAAGTGTAATCATTAATAAGATTAAAGAAGCAAAATATTTTTCAATAATACTTGATTGTACTCCTGATGCAAATCATCAAGAACAAATGACTCTTATACTGCGATATGTAGATATTTCAACAAGTCCAATAAAAATAAAAGAATATTTTTTAGAA